CTGAGTCTAGACTAACATTTCAGCTACTGTATCTGTCAGTTAATTGGGAGGAACGAACAAAACTGGAATTTCTTCAAAGTTGAGGGGGATTTTTTTTTTAAATTTTAATGTAATTTCAGGGAACTACACTGTATCTTAGAATGTATTGGTAGATTCAGAAGAATATTCAATGCTGCTTCTGCTCCTTAAGAAGGATTAAGTGCTTAGTTTTCTGGAGGAATAATTATTTATACCCAACAGTATTGCATAGAAAGCACAATCCAATATAATTAGATTGTCCGAGTAGGGAAGATGGTGACATTACTCTTAGCTAGCTATTATGAAATGCTAATGCTTCCTGGTCGTTAGGAAGCATAAACAAAAGCTAATGGTCATAGTGCCAGCATCCTGTGAAATTTAAATGTAATATTAAAAAAAGTAAGGTAGAACTTTCTCATTTAAAAAAAAAACAAACCAAAAACAAACCCAAAACCACACACAAAGAGCACAGTGATAGAATGCAGTTTTTCTCGTACGTATGAAGACATGATTTTCTTGTAGGTTTCTTTTCTGGGAAATAAGATACGGAAGCCGACTCATGAGGGGATAGGTTGTGTTCACCACTGCGTATCATGCTTCTATATCAAGGTGGAATTGCAACCAAGTCTTGGAGGTGACAGGCAAGCACTGTAATACTATTACATGAACCTGCAGTTTATCACAGATTATTTAAAAAGACACCAACTGGAAGAATGTTTAAAAACTAGTTTTTGCTGTGGAATTACTTAAAAAAAAAAAACCAAACTGAACTTGAATTTCAGCTGTCTTTGTTCATCTTGGTTGGTAAAAACAGATCTTTTGACTTTGATTTTTCTGTATTAGTGTGCTAGTTGTTTTTGTGGAAAAACTGAATTCTGCCAAATTGAAAAAAATCAAGACCTTCACTGCTGACCACTTAAATAAAACTTCATTGTTGAGTACAAATCTGTTCATGATGTCCCTTCAAAAGACTTCTTGCTCTGAATAAGAAAACATTGCATGTACATAAGGAAGTATTTCTGTGTATCTAAGGCTTTTATTTTTGACTTGTGGATAGCTGTACAACTGTAGTTGTGGTCAACAGAAAGTGAAACTTTGATTTATTTGAATTAATCACAATTTTTATATATATTTTCTGGTTTCTTAGCAGCTTTAGCCAATAGAATAAGCAGCTGATGTTGGGGCCATATGTGATAATACTGAATATCTTTGTCCTGAAATTTGTTTCTACACAGTAAAAGTGAAATTTAAGGGAAAAACTAAGTACTTAGCATGCCAGTTTGGAAAATGTTTTAAAATGACCATGTATATAAAAGCAGTAGCCATATGCAAGTAAAAAATGACATGTGGTAGGGATGATTTATGGGGGTGTGGGTATGTATTTTTTCCCCATGGAGAATAAACTCTACTTCTTCCTTCCGAAAGTGATTCTGAACATGTACTCAGACCCCTGTTTTGGAAAGTAACCTAATTACCAACTTCTGCTCTCCTAAAGAGTGTGCAACTATTGGCAGTTGTGTGCAACTATTGGCAGATGCTTAGAGGGTTCAGTAAAGAATCAAGGTGATGTTGCCTCTGAGGACTGAAAGGGATGTAATTTCATAGTTTCGTGTAGTGGTTTTAGTCCACGTTAAGTGGAAGATCATAGACTTTTTTTTTTTGTTGGAAGTAATAGAAGGGAGCAGAATGCTGACAGAGCACTCTAAGGTATATAAGCCAGACTTAGGATGTGACAGTGTGTTATTTGCTGCATAACCAGCGAAAGTTTAGAAAACATTGATTCAGTGGAACCTTTATTTTGGGAAGGGAGGGAGACCATCTGGGAAGAGCATGGCTGACCTCTTTGGATAATAGGAGCTAGCTTGTGAAACTAGTAATTAACTGAAGTATTTGAGGGTACTGATAAATTGATGGTCAGCATTAAGGGTTCGCGGTTGTCTTAACTCCAAGACTGGGCTGCTGCTAGGAGTGATAGGCAGTCACCTTCCTTAATCTGTGTGGTCTAATCTCCATTATGTTGGCACTAACAGTACTTGAAGCTCCATAATCAAGTAACCTGAACAAAATAAGGATTAACTTTCAGCTGGCTGACGGACACTGTTGGGTGGTACAAGCTTGTTGGGGGTGGGGTGGAACTCCCCTGCAAGAGATTGAGGAGCAGTGGAGGGATGCGGCTTTTATACTTTGAAACTGTATTATAAGCAAACAGGCTAAGGCTGCTGCCATAGTGTTACTAGGACTATGGCTAACAAGTAAGAAGAGAGAAGAACTGTCACTGAAGTATTATCATTGAAGAAAAGGAAGAAACATCATTAAAGGAAAAAATCTTAAGTTAAAATCCCATTCATAATGAGGAAGAACACAGTAGGCAAAAGGATGATACTCTCCAGAAGTTATCATCATCTGTGCAGCAGTTTTGTTAGTAAAAATCATTTTGTATGCATATGAATCTAGGTGCTGTAGCTCTTGATTCCAGCAGAGGAGGAAGTTCAGTTTAGAGGGGGACATCTCTAGGCTGTGATTGTATAGGGTTTACATTGGCAAGGCTTTGG